CACGAGATGTAGAACCTTGAGCAAGGTACGCGACCTTCACGTACTCCCGTTGTTTCTGTATCTGTCCAATGCGGACAAGAAGCAGCAGCTGCCCCTTAGGCTCGTGCGAGGAAACCCAGTGAGGAAGGGTGAGCGGCCCGCATGGTGCCTGGCACGAGGTAGGCCTTCCAGAAAATGGTGGCTACTGTGAGTGCTCGAAAATGAAAACCGAAATGGCTCAAGCTCGGGCCACCTGCTGGTCGGATTTCCTCCTCGGGCTGCATTCTGGACCTCTACGGCATCCCCGCCCTCCCCTCCGACAGCCGGACCCTTCACTCTGCCTCGCGCTGACCTTGGCACGGGATGGCAACCATTCCTTCCGTTTCCCCCGGAATGCCCCGGACACAAGGCCGTTGAGCAGAGCCCTGAGGGTAACAGATGGGAAAGCTACTCTCAGCAAGAGCATACGCACCCCTGCGCCAGGGCTGTGCTTCCCAGGCCCCCGTGTGGCCTCTCTTCCCTCTCCCCCCCCCACCCCTCCCCGGCCCTTCCCTGTCCAGCTGCTTTTGCAAAACCGTGCCTCTCCTGGGTTTCTTGCTTCCCTCCTGTGTCCTGCCCTCCCCTCCCCGGCCAGCCTTGAGCCTCAGGTTTTCGCACCCAAAGAGTCTACTAGGATGTTCCCCTGCAGAAAAAAACCAGACCTCTGCTTCTGGCTTTTAAAATGACATCGTCCTCGACTGCTCTGTATTTATTGAACACTGACCGTGTGTCAGAGGACCTATGGGAAGGGCTGGGGCCACAGAGATAAATGGGCAGGTGCCGTCCTGCCCGGAATGACCAAGTTATCCTGTTCCTGGGCTCCGGTCCTAGCCCCGAGGACCTGGCTTCGGCTCGTCTTTCTCTGGTGACACCTGACGGACGTGCTGTGGGCTACCGCACGCGGCACCCCAGCGGACTCAGAGTGCAGCCCCACACCGCCCCCCCCCAGCACACCACGGCAAAAATGCACACACACACACACACACACACACACGCACATGCACACACGTCCGCTCCATGCTAATTTTTGCCTTTGATGGCGGCCTCTAGACTGTCATCACCACTCCGTGTTGACAAAGCATAAAAAATAAAAAGAAAGAAAGAAATCCACCCTGTCACTTGGACTCCCCTCCCCCCCCCGCCCCGCGCCGCCCCCCCCGGGCCTGGCGGCCGCCACCCCCGCCCCCGCCTTTGTATTATAGGTTTATGTCAAGGTATGTTGGATTCTAAATTAAATGTCAGCCCACTGTACCTTTCTGGCTCCAGCCGCAGAAAATGAGGAACCAGTGTTGGAGACCATCCAGTTGTTCAGCTCCCCGTGCCTAACCGAGAGGGGTGACAAGCCCATTGAATCACTGCACAGTAGCTTTCCATGCCACGGGAAGCCAAGATAAATTTATTTTTAATGATAAATGTGACTGTCAGAGTTAAGTTGAAACAGCTTTACGGCAAGATCCCGGTGCCCTCGGCAAGTGAGGGGCAGAGGCTGGGCGGATGAGGGCCAGGGGTCCCGACCTCCTGGCCAGGCAAGCGCCCAGGCCCCACGGAGCCAAGCCCATTTGACATTCCGCCCACGTCTTGCAGAGCCGCTGCTGAGACTTCGCTGGATGTCTCAGGCCAGCTCCAGAGGACGAAGAGGGCGGAAGCTAGTGACAGAGCAGGGCGGAGATCTGGGTTCCAGTTCTGGCCCCATCGGTTGCTGGGTGATCGTGACCAAGTTACTTAACCTCTCTGAGCTCCAGATGCCTCATCTGTAAAATGGGGGTGTCGGTTTTTGGTGAGGATTACATGAAATAAGGTATACTGTTAATGACTGGGACTCATTCATTAAGCACAGGCGACATGCTTACTGAATGGCGGTTATTCATTATATCATCTTATGTAACTTCCCTGACTCGGTTTTCTCATCCATGAAATGGGGATTGCAAAAGCTCCCGTGTCTGAGGGTGGCGGTGGGTCCAGCACAGAGCCCGGTGTGGGGATGATGTTCAACGGATCGCAGCCAGTCTGAAGGCCAACACCCTGAATGCTGTCACCCAACGATCCTGGTCACTTTCTTACCTCCTTCGTCGGTTCTCTTCCTGTCCATTCCTCCAAAGCCGGCATCATGACTCACCGCCCTGTCCCCACTCCCTGCTAAGGGAGGTGCCCTGCATCAGGTCCCCTATGCTCATTGCCCTCCATCAGATTATGGTGGGCACCTGACAGAGGGCAGCTGTTATTGGCCAGCTGGTAATCCACAGTTGACATGTCCTGGCTCCAAATGAGGAGCAGGATGGATCACAGCCTTTCTCTCCAGAATTTAAACTAAAAATCCCAGACAGGAGCTTTCTGTTCGTGGGGCCATCACATCCAGGTGGCCACGGGCAAAAAAAAAAAAAAAAAAAGAAAAAAAAAGTAGGAACACGTAGAATTGGCGAGCCAGAGGGAGGAGGAGGGTAAGTGGATGCCCAAGGAGGGGGCAGGGATTCCGGGGAAGCCTTGGGTCTAAGCCAAGCACCCTGGGTTCCCAGGTTCCCGCTCTCCCGAGGTCCTGGCTGGTCCCCAGATAGCCTTGATCCCACGCCGGCCAGTTGGGAACACCTGCGATGGGGCTGTGAGGACACCAGCCTTGTCAAAAGGGAAGGGGGGGGCACTGTCCCCTCTGTGGGGCCGGCTTCGATTTTTCTTACGCGGATCTCGGGGTCAATGAACTGAGTGAGGGTGGCCCTCCCCTCTCCCCGAGACACCAAGTGTGTGAGGTGAATACAGCGTGTAAAGCACTGAGCAAATGGCTGCAGGCTCATGCCAGAGCTGCAGCAGGCCTGATTCTTCTCCTGGGGTGCCCAGGGGGTGGGTAGGCGAAGATCGTCCTTGACACACGTCCTCACTGCACCCTCTCAAGGGCAGGAAAGCAAGGAGCCTGCTGTCCAGCAGGTGAGACAACCGGCCGCCAGCAGTGCCAGGAGGCGCCGCTAGGTGGCGCCCACTCACCTGTCCAACTGTCCTCCCGCGGGCCTGGGAGCGGATCTCCAGCCAGCATCCTCCGGCTTGCACCTGCCGGCACAGCCTATTGTCACTCTCCATTCTCTGCCTTTGCTGTAATGCCTTCTTCCCCAGCCTCCAGACATCCCGGCCTGCCAGGCCTGGCTCACGCCTCTCCTTCTTCAGGATGCTTTCCCTGCTCCCTCAGAGCACGCGTTCCCAACCTCGGTTGACCCTCCGCACCGCCCTGGTCTCAGAGTCTCAGTTCAGGGTTTCCCCCTCCCCAGCAGGGTGCTCTTTTGTCTGCACGTAGACACATCTGGAGTTTACATCCTCTCCCCAAATCAGTGCCACAGACTTGCAGTCCCAGCCTTGTGCCTGCAAACTTCACAATTCCCCCACCAAGAAGGGGGAGGTCCTGATTTCTTTCCACGCGGAAACCAAGGCTACAGACGACAGGAAATCTGCCCAAGGTCGTAGCAGGAAAGTTTGAAATCTGCTGCGGTGATTCAAGGAGCCCTCTCTTAGAATTTCGCAATGAGCCCTTCCAAAGAGGGTGCTGTTAATCTTTTGGTACACATGGGGAAACTGAGGCTCAGAGAGGCGCAGTAGCTTGCCCCAGGCCACACAGCCAGGGCTCTGTGCTTTCCACTACACCCCTCTGAGCAAGCCGGATGGCCCCCTCGGTCACCTGCCAATCCCTTTAACCCACAGGGAAGGGGGCGGAGGGGAAGAAGGGTGCGATCCGGAAAGAGCCTGGACTCCACACAGGTCCCGCGCCCCCCAGCCAGTGCTGTGGGATCCTCCCCAGCCACCCAGGCGGCCTCCCCGTGGGGCGCAAACGGGGTGGGGCGCAAACGGGGTGGGGCTGCAGGTGGGGCAGCCGGCAGCCCTGGGAGGCAGAGGAGGCTGCGCCAAACAGCTGGCGTGTTGCGAACCCAGCTGCTGGTGGGTGAGTGACAGTCGCTCAGACGGCATGGGGGGCACGGGGTCCCGGGGCTTCCGGGCTCAGGGCGCGGCCACCGCGCAGGCTGGGCGCGGCCCCCACCCCCAGGCAGCCCGCGTTGCCTGTGCGGGCCTTGGAGAGGGGCCGGGAGAGGGACGAAGATGGGGCGACAGACTGGCAGCCGGTGGGGAAGAGACGAAGACGGTGCCAGGGAACAGCGTGGCGGGCCAAGGCTCCCCGGGAGCCGGAAAACAGCTCTGGGGAGAAGCGGGGGGCGGAAAATAGGGGTGTCTACTCTGAAGCTGGGGGAGCTGAAGGGATGGAAGAAAGGGGCGGAGGAGGGGCAGCCGGCGGGGCTCCCGCGGCGGCCTGGGGAGGGGGCGGCCCGCAGAGAACGCGGCGTCGGGCCGTGTGGGCGCCTCCCGGTCAGAAGCTACAATAGCATCTCGTTAACGGCGCAGATTAAGGACTTTGTCAATTACCTCCGAAGGCTGCGCCGGGCGGATTAAATGCTTTTAAAAGTGCTGCTGGTGGGAGGGGGCGACTGAAAAGCCCCCTCCCTGCACAAATCCCCACTCTCCGGAGCAGAGGAGGAGGCGGGGGCTGAGGCGGTGCGGGGCGCGCCTGGGGGACGCGGGCGATCCAGCGCGCCGAGCGGCTCCTACTCGGGACCGCGGCGCCGGCGGCTGTGGCGGCGCGGGGAGGCAGGATCCAGGGTGGCGGACTCTGGCCGGGGGCGCCCCCAGGCCGGCCTCGCTGGTGCGGATCCGGAGGGGAAGGTCCCAACGGCTTGTGACTCCAGGACGGGGCGCGCTTGCCGGATCGGAGTCCTCGGAGACCCGCAGGGGGCGCACTTCGGCCGGCCCCACCCCCTGCCCCGCCGGGGTCCCCGGGTGAGGCCTGCGCCCCGAGGGAGCGGGAGCAACGCGGCGCCGCGCCCGGGAGACGCCCGACGGCCCGGCGGGGACGCCCACTGGGCCCTCCCGGCGCCGCGCCCCCGGCGCACGGTGAGTTGGCGCGGGTCCCGCCGGAGGAAGTTTGCGAGGAGGCGCCGTCGGGGTTTCCCAGGCCCCTCCCGGAGCCGGCTGAAGGCGGGCTGGAGGCGGGCTGCCCGCTGCGGTTTGCCGCCCTCCCGGCTGGCCCCAGGGGCCTGGGGCCGGTTCTGCCCCTTTATCTGGGCCTTTTCGGAGGTGGAGTGAACTATCGCAGGCCTCCGGGGTGTGTGTGTGTGTGTGTGTGTGTGTGTGTGTGTGTGTGTGTGTGTGACACAGAGAGGGAGGGAGGCCGGGGGAGCAATAAAAGGCAAAGAGAGTCCGAGACAAAAAAGACACGGAGATTGAGAAGGAAGGAGGGAGGAGGGAGAGGAGCGCGCAGGGGGAGGCGCGGGAGCGGAGAGCGGGGACGGCGCGCAGCGCGAGCGGCGGGCGGGCGGGCTGCTCTCGCGCTCCCGCTGCCGCTGTCACCCGCGCATCCCCGCGCACCCCGTCCTCACCCGCGCACCCCCGCACACGCACCCCCGTTGGCCCGGGCCGCCTGGCGCGGGGCCCCGAGGCGGGGATCTGGCGGGCAGAACGCGCCCCGCGCCCGAGCCCGCGCCCACCTCGGCGTCTTTGCGCTCCGCAGCGGCGCGCCTCGCCGGGCGCCCCCGCCAGTCCTGCCGGAAGATGGTCAACGACCGGTGGAAGACCATGGGCGGCGCTTCCCAACTTGAGGACCGGCCGCGTGACAAGCCGCAGGTACACGCGGGCCCGGGGCGTGGGGACTTGGGGCCCGCGCGGTGGGCGAGGTGGTGGCCGCTCCGGCCGGCGGGGTGGGCGCCCAGCTCGAGGCTGGAGTTTGGGGTGCACCCCGCGGGGGTCGGGAGGCCTGGGGTGAGGCGGGCGCCCTCCTCTCCTCCTCCTCCAGAAGAGGCTTGAACTTGGGGTGCGGACGGGGGCAGCACCCCGGCAGGAGCCGCTCGCTGTGCGAGAGGGCCCTCTTGCGCCGCCAACAGCCTCCCTGTGCGCGTGTGCAGAGGGGGTGAGAGACCTATAGTTCGCAGGGTGACCAGCCTTTTAGGTAACTGTGCGACCACAGACATCACACCCTCGCTGAGTGTGTTTCCACCCCTCGGCAGTGGGCATCTTAATCACTTGCTAACTCTCCACCCTGGGCACCACCCTGTGCCAGGTGCCCGGCAGGGTGCCGATCCCCTGGATCTCCTCTGGACCCTTACACTTTAAACAGCTCTGTCTCCCCTCCCCCATACAGTAAAGGATCGATAAATATTTGTCTTATGTGAGAAGCCTGGATATCATGATTCTCCAGTTTTAAGACAAGGAAAGCGAGGCTCAGAGAGGGTTGCTCCTGCCAGAGGCCGTGAGGCTCTGCTGAGATTTGAACCTGGGTCCGAGGTTCCACGTCTGTTTGTTTGATCCTTCCTGCTGCATCTTCAGGGGCAGTGGAGGGGGCTTCAGGGGCTTGGAGGGTGCCCAGGGCTGTGCACTGGAAGGTGGCGGGGGGGTGGGGGGTGAGGGCAGAGCTCCGGGGCTGGCCAGAGACGGGGCTGGAGATTCAGAGCTGAGCGGAGGGACAGCTCTGGGGCTGCCCCAGGCCGGGTTGCCAAGGGACTGGGGCAGGCAGGCAAGATGAGGGGGGCCCCCCGCTCGCCAAGGAAAGGAAGTAATGGGGCTGCCCGTTTTAAATTTCAAATTTCTCCCAGACAGATGTCATTGGGGAAAGAGCTGTTTGTGTTCGCGATGGCAAGAAGGCGGTAGCAGGGGCGGGCCTTGCAGCCCCTCACTCTCCAGGGTTGCAACCTGCTTGTTCTGTCTGGACTGACAGGGCCGTGGTGTGGGGGCCCAGCCCTCTACAGTTTGCAGAGCTCTTTCCCGACCAGCTGGCCAACCTCCCTTCGTGCCATAGCCTGGGGGTTAGGCAGAGATGCATATTCCCACGTCACAGGGTAACGTGGCTCAGAGAGGTCGAGGCACGGCCCAGATCACACAGCATGTTAGCAGGAGAACGAGGATTCGAACCTGGGTCTGACCCCGGCGCCTTCCAATGCCTTCCAGGTAGTCTGTTTCTTTGTTTCGGGCAGGTGCACCCCCGAGCCACTCTCAGGTGTCACTCTTCTGCTGAGATCTGACTTTTTACCCTCTTAGCAAGAGCAGTCTCATCTCCTAGACTCGTTCAAGGCCATCCCCAGCCTGACCCGTTCTCCTTTCCTGTCACCCCCTTACCAGGGCTGACTGCTTGTCGTTGCCAAACTCCAGCCCCACACACGGCTGAACATTTCCAAACCTTTGCAGGTCCCAGTAGCATTTAGCTTGGGGCGCTCAGCTGCCTTCGTCTCGCTGCCTTGCCACCCCCCCCCCACCCCCAGCCCTGGGTCCCTCCTCTATCAGGAGCTCCCTTTGGACGTGTGCTCCTTCCGGGCCCCCGTCTCTACGTCTTCCCCTGGGCCCAGGCTCCTGCCCCTCCGTGTAGCTCAGACTGGGAGCTTAGGGGTATTGGCTGAACTGAAGTGCGTGAGGCCCTCAGCCAGGCGCCCTGGGTGAAGAGTCAGCAGGTGCCCCTGTGTCTCAAGGGGAAGGGGGGGCTCCTGGGGGATCTGTTTGAAATGTGCCTTCAAGGCCTCCTCCCTCTGCTGCTGCCTGGGGGCGCATATTCCAGCTGCCCGAGCCAGAGCCCCCGCCGTCCGCCCCTTGGCATCAGAGGCCGCTGAGAGCTTGTGGCCCCAGGGGCCTGGGCCAACATCAAACACCGCCTCCTTCCCCCCCCTCCCTTGGTGACCTGGCATGTAGACCTAAGCACAGTGACCGAGCCTGTGCCAGCCCCAGCCTCATTTGAAGCTTCAGGTAAGAGGCAAGCCTGCTTCGTTAGAGTTGTCCCTTCTCCCCCCAGAGCACGAAGGGGCTTTCACACCCTTGGGGCGGGAGGTGACGGTGGAACATTTGCCAGAGTTTGGAGTCTGTCAGATGAAAGGATCTAGGAATAGCAGGAAGTCCCCCTGTGGCCCGCTCCTCCTGGGCGGGGTTGGGGCGGGGCGGTGGGGAGCTGGTGGGGGGGAGCCTTGTTTCTCAGCGGCCCTGGGGTCACGCCACCCCACAGGGAGGTCGGCCTGGGCGATCCCAGGCATCGGCTCCTGACACGTGCCAAACTTCTCGCAACATTGCGGAAAGAAAAAGAACTTCTCATCGGGAAGTTCTTCCCGATGTCTAACCTAAACCCTGCGGCATTTAATTCACTCCGTGGCTATTTCTGGAGTCTCCGCCTCGGCTGGGATGCACGGCTGCGAGCCGATGCCCCCAGGAAGCTTACTTAGGGTCTCACGAGGGAAGCAAAAAAAAAAAAAAAAAATCCAAAAAAAAAAACCAAACCCTCACCAGTCAGGGACTGTCACAAGGCACCATAAAGAAAAGCAACTGTCTTCTTGTTCCCTGGGGCTTGGGTAGAGGTCACTGTGTTAGGCAGGGGCTGGGAGACAAGGAGGGTGACGTAAGGGAAGAAGGGGCCCACGGGGGTGACAAGCCAAGGACTCCCTTCTGTCCCTTACGTGCCCTCCTCCGGGCCGCCCCCCCCACCCCCACCCAGCCCCACAGAGCTCACCATCTAGCCCAGCGGGGTGGCTGTGACCCGAAGGCAGGGTGGGAGTGAAGAACCACCTCCCAGAGGAGGTGACAGTTAGGCTGAACGGTATTTGCCGCCTCCGTCCTGGAGGGAGACCAAGGTGTGTTGGGAGCCAGGAAAGAAACCAGGCAGGTGCAGAGCTGGGCAGGGCGGGATGGGGGAGGGGAGCCCGCAGGTGCCCTAGGCCGGAGGGCCCAGCGGGACCTGCCCTGGGGGCCTCTATAGCTCTAGGGGGGTTCTAAGCAGGACCTGCGGGAAGGGTCCTTTGCGGCCTTGTGCGGAACGGGTTGGCGGCGCCTGGAGGCCAGCGGGGAGGCCGTCACAGTGATTTCGAGGCAGATGACGGGCTTAGACTGGGGCAGGGCTGGGGGCACAGAGACAGAGCCGGGTGGCTGCCTGGGTGGCGGTGGGGCGGAAGAAGTCCAGTGAGGCACCGGCTTTGGAGGGGTGGAGGCCGAGTTGGTGCAGGGGACCTCCAGAGGGCTCAGGTTAGGGGTGGGGACAGGACCTGGTTCGGTGTCAGTGGGCCGGGTGGGCCATCAGGAGGCCAGGGGCTGTGGGGGGTGGGGAACAGACCCTCATGGGAAGCATATGGAGACCCCCCTCTGCCCCCCCCCGAGATGGACCCAGAGTCGAGCTCCTCTGAGGAGTAGCAAAGGTTGGGGAGCTTGGAGCCCCCAGGAGGGGTTGGACTCGGGCCGCTCTCCAGGCCCTGCCCCTCTGTCCCCTTCGGCCACTCCCCTGGGACCTTGCAAATGGCCAGAGGCTTCCGACGGTCCTCAGCACGGGGTGCCTTAAAGCCGAAGAACCGGCCCCTCGTTCTAGGGGGGTCTCTGGGACACCCCGACCCCATCCTGCCTTTGGCTGGGGTGCTCATAGGAGACGGGGGTGCTGAGCATTTGGATCCCACCTTGCCTGGCCTCCCCTGGAGGGACATTTTTCTTCTTCCCACTTTGATACTGGGAGCCCAGTCTCTGTCTACCGCGGGGGCTCCCGCACCGGCTCCCTGAGCAAACGAGGAAGAAGACCGGGGGGGGCGGGCTGGGCACGTTGGGCTGGCAGGGCATCGAGCCAGCGCGTCCCTTCCTCTTGAGCCCTCTTTTCCTCCGCCAGACCCCATGGCCGCCTCTGGAGGCTGGGGACACAGAGGAGGCAGCGGGGAAAGACGCCAGCCCTCAACTGAGGCACCTCTGGGGTTTCTTACCTCCTGCCTCCCCTCGGCCACGGGGAGCCAGCCCTGGGGGCCACGCAGGGGACGAAGCCACGTCCCTCCAGCTGGGGGCTCACGTAAGCGGTTAGTGGCAGAGTGGACCTCGAACCCCGGGCTCCTGGCACCCCTCACGCCCACCGCCTGGGATACCTTCCCAGCGCCTGCTCTCCTTGCCAGGGGAGGCGGGGGCCCTGTGTGCCCGGACCCCGGGGTGTGCACCCGGCTCTGCCACGGCCAAAGGCTGATAAAGCAGCCCCGGCCCCGTGGCCTGCTCTTTGCGCCCGGAGCCCCCCTTCTTATCTCAAGCAGATTTCTTTGCGAGACACGTAAACAGCAGCCTATAAAAAGGAAAAGTACTTCGTGTTTAAGGTGATCTCAGAAGACTAATTCTCCTCTGCTGAGTGGCCTGTTTCATCTCCAACTCCGTCATCCCCCTGCCCCTCAGGGGACCCCGTGTGGCTTTCTCGAGCCTCTTCCTCCTCTGCACCCTCCGTCTTCCCTCCAGGGACTGGGGGCTTGGGTGGAAGCAGGTGCGAGAGACGGCGAGGGTCCTGGAGACACCCGGGTGGGTGGGGGCGGATGCGGCGGGCCACTTTGCCTTGCCGGCCGGGGACCTTAATGCCATTCAGTTGGAGGACGTCGCTCAGAGCTGCTTGGGGCAAGGTGTCTCCCCGTGGACTCCGGGAGGGGCCTGATTGCTGACACAGAGCTTTGTCTCGCAAACCCCACACTCCAGACTCTGGCAAGAACGTTGTGGGAAGACGTAGCCTCGGCCCGGAGGGTGTGCTTCCAGTCACCGGCCCTGGGCTCAAATGCTGGCCCTCCCGCTCGCCTCCCGTGTGTCCTCGGCACGGGCTCTTCTGCCCTCTGCCCTCTGAGCTCTTCCCCGTGAATCCAGCCAGAGAAGGGGGCGTTAGGACGTTTCTGGGGCGGGAACACGGCTGGCGCTCGAGGCCTGGCGGTGCTAACTTGGTGCCCGCCCATCTGCAAGGCCCTGACCTACAGGTGACCGTGGGATCGGAGCAGCCTGGAGGTCGCCTTCGTTCCGTGCCCGGCCAGGAGAGGGGGCACACGGGGTCAGAGGGGGCCTTGCCCCGGGGCCCGGGGCTCAGCGTGAAGGTCATGAGTCCCGAAGCACAGTGGATCCCGGGGCCTTCACATCCTCCCCCTTTCGAGCACGGTCACCGAGAAATGGCCTGGCCCATCCGTTTTTCCTCCCATCCATGTGACAAGCGGCCGCTCTGTGCCGGGTGGGGGGAGGCGAGAGCAGGCCCGGCCCTGGGGGGGCTCTGGTGGCCCAGCCCAAGTCTCCCGGCGCCTGGGACACCCAGTGAGTGGGTGTTTGCATGAGTACACGAATGAATTCAAAGGTGGTGACTGTGGGTCTTGATAAGCACCCCCCCTTCCCCGGGGGGTGGGGGGGGGGAAGGAAGGGGCGTGGGAACACAGAGGAAGAGCATCTCCAAAACTAGATTGGGGGTGGCGGAGGGCTGGGGAAACAGTCAAGGAAGGCTTCCCGGAAGAGGTGGCCATCTAGCTGAGCTCTGAAGGAAGAGAGGGAGTTGGGTCGGCGGAAGAGGAGCAGGGGCCGTGGGCGCCTCGGGCTGAGGGACCAGCCTATGCAGAGCTGATGTGGCTTGGGGGGGTGGGGGGGGTGGGGGGCTAAGGTGTTCAGGTCCGGCTGGAGCAAGCCGTCGAGATGTGTGGAGCCCGGCACGGAGGTGCCGTCCTGGGGCCCCGGGCAGATGTGGGGAGAGGAGTCCTGGGGGTGTCACCCCTGCAGGGGCGGGCTAAGGAATTCTCTCCCTCATCTCGACCACAACCCTTCCTTGGGCGGGGGGGCGGGGGGGGGTCTGCTCGTCCGCCTGCGCCGCACCCCTGACCCCCCCCTCCTCTGGTGCCAAGCAGCAGATTCAGGAGTCACCCGTGGCATTTGAGTGCGTGCAAAAGGAGCTGTTTGCTGTATAGTACTTTCCAGTAAAGAGCAAGGTGTAAGACGAATTGCTCCTTTACGTACCACCGTGGGGAGCCTTCAATTACACCTACAGGAACCGCCCCCCCCCCCCCGCCCCGCGTTGGAGACGTGAAAATGTGCAAAATCCAGAAGGTGCACCCTAGCATCAGTGACAGAGAGAAGTAACACTTTGGGAGGAAAATAAACAACCCAACACCCCCAGATGCTCTGTGCACACTGATCGCCAGGCAATAAAAGCTGCTAATATTTATTGGACGCGCACAACGCGCCGGGCGCGGTGCCAGGGGGTTCACAGACTAACTCGCTTAAAGATGCATCACGAATGCAGAAAGTTGAACACGGGGCAGGCGGGAAACTCAGGGGTAGAAGGTGCCTGGCCCTGAGAGGAGGCAGGAGGCCGGGGGGGGGGGGGGG